CTGCTTTATTTTTATAAATGCCTGTCTCTGGGCTACCCAGAAACCTCTTCAAGGACAGGAACTATGCTCACCTTATTCAACCTATACCCGCAGTGCCTAAGCATAAAGAGTGAGAGTGAGTGAACAAATGAATGAGAAGTGCCCAGCCAGGCGTTCCTAAAACACCAGTGTCAGTGAACTACGGCTGAGGATCATATCTAGCCTAATGCCTGTCTTTACACAGTTGTAAGCCAAGAATGGTCTTTCAGTCCAGTTCAATCGCTCAGTCGTGTCTCACTCTTTACGACCCCATGAGTTGCAACACACCAGGCCTCCCTGTCCATCACCAACTCCCGGAGTCCACCCAAATCCATGTCCATTGAGTCAGTGATGCCATCCAACCATCTCATCCTCTGTCGTCCCCTTCTCCTCCTGCCCTCAATCTTTCCCAGCATCAGGGTCTTTTCAAATGAATCAGCTCTTCGCATCAGGTGGCCAAAGTATTGGAGTGTCAGCTTCAGCATCAGTCCTTCCAATGAATATTCAGGACTGATTTCCTTTAGGATAGACTGGCTGGATCTCTTTGTCTTTATGTTTTCAAATAGTTTTTTAAAAAAATCAGAAGAACTGCATTTTGTGATGTGAAAACTACATGACATTTATATATCATAGTCCATAAACAAAAATTATGGGAACAGATCTACACTCATTCTACAGTTGTTTCTGTACTAGAACATCAGAGCAGAGTAGTCCCAGAGTTGGCACTGGTGCAAGACCTCAAATATTTACCACGTAATCACTCACTCACTGCCACAACAATGCCCTCAGAGTCTAAGCTGCAGGCATGAAATATGAGAGACATGAGAATTAAGGACTGATGGTAATCCCACTTCTGGATCCCTGATGCCCGTCATATTCACTGAGCATTCCCTGAACGGCAGCCACCTCCATGACACGTGGTGAGAATGTCATTGGAGGCATTTGAGAATTCTGGCTGATCACTTCTAAAGGGCTGGAGCTCACACCAAAACCAAGGCTTACTGGGTAACCACCTTCTACTCATTCATTCAACAAATGTCTACTTGGGCACCTACTTTGTGCAGGCGCTGTTCTGGGAGGCGAGGATACAAACAGCGGCCCTTGGGGGTCCTCCTGAGCAGGAAATAGTGGGGAGACTACACTACAGTGAGGCCTGTATGACAGGCAGTGGGAGACAGAAAGATTCTGTGATATCACACCCACAAAACTGTACCTACTTTTAAGGAACATACTCGCTGGGAAGCCATGACAAACCCATGAAAAGTTACGTCTTGATAAAAGATTTAACTAACACTTCAAGACCCCTGAGCAGATGCCCCAGGGACAAACAGCTTAGCAGAACCATTTAGCCAAGAACTCTGGTACACCCCATCTATTTTGTACTGCACACACTGTGATTACCCAAGCTAACAAATGTTTGTCATTAGACTGAGAGCAGTTTCAACACCAGAGAATGTGCGTCCTTCCCACAAAAGTGGGTTAAGAATAGGCATGCATGATTGTTCTGTTACGTGTGGCTCAAAAACCAACACACATGTCCATTTGCACACCACATGCCTTCAAGAAACACAGCAGAGGGAGTGGGGTGAATCTGCTGACGGTCTGATGACACTCCTCACTCCGGGAACTGCAGAAATCTGGCAGGGCAGGGTCATTCAAGCTTTCCTCCCAGTCAGTCACATGCTCTCCCTCTCTATGGGACAGCTCTCTCCAGCACTAACTCCTGTGTCTCAGATTCCAGCAAAGCTCAGAGAGCAGCCTCTAGCACCTCTATACACACACACACACACACACAGCACCACAAGAAGCATCAGTTTCTATCTGACTGTTGTAGCAGTTTCCTAATGTCAAGTAACAAGTACATACAGCCTGGTGAAGAATCAGTAGGTACAATGTTGCTGGTGCTTTCATTCTGTATGAAAAGGACAGAAATTCAATGCATTACAGGAAAAACCATGACATCTAATCCCAAGCCACTGAAATAGAAGTTTAAAAAAAAAAGGAAGACTTGTCAAAACAGATAAGAGAATTAGATACCTGGCATTTTGGACACTCACTGTTCCTACAATCTACTATCCAAGAAGGTCTCAGTCTATCTTCATGATCTCAGAAAAATCACATTCCCTCTCTGGCCTCCATTTCCTCATCAGTAAAATAAGGCATGGACCACATCTCTTGAGTTTAGGAACAGAAAAGTTTACTAAGAAATTCCAATATCAGCTTTCATTAAGACTCAAGCAGTAAAACATTTTGGAAAAGTTCAACAAAACCACAGCTCTTCCAGAGTAGGCAGAAAGTCACTTTAAAATAAGAACCATACGATAATACAATAAGCAAAGTGATTTTTTTTCTTTTTAACCCATCAAAAGAAATGGTACCTATAAAATTATATACATTAGCTAAACCTTGAGTAGGGATTAATCCTCACTAACCTACAACCCCCTCAGAAATCAAGGTCTGAAAAAAAAAAAGAAATCAAGGTCTGCATTACAGCTGAGCAGCCCTAAAGTGAAGCATTAAAGCTTATGGGAATCAGTTCTTGGATGCGAAAGGTGAAAAGGAAGATAAATTGCTAATTTCCACTTTTACCACCATAAAATTTTTACTCCCACGGCTCAGAAGGAATCACCATACCCTAAAATTCATCTTTCTTAAAACACACTCCTTACTTTGAAACCCTGCATTCTGACTGCTCCCTTCTTTTGAAGAGCCTAGCCTGTGTTTCCATTTCCACTGTTTTTACAAAGCAGACCCTTGGCCTCAGGCATGCTCTCTCTTATTCTATGACTAATTCAGCTTTACATACCAAAATGTTCCATAGTCAGTAACCTACGTGAAGATCTATTTCATTTAAAAAAAGAGAGAGAGAGACAGAAATATTCTGAACATAGAAGAAGATAAATAGAATAATAAAACAAACACCACCTGGTGCTAGAAATAAAACATTGCAAAAACAGTGGATGCCCCCAGGCACCCATTTCCACTCACATTCCCCTCTCTTCCCAAGTGGAAACCACCATCCTGAATGCAGGGCTCATCACCCCAACAGAGCTCTCCCATTCCCACACAGCATATGCATCTACGTGATCTCAATTTTTACATGAATCCTACCTCTGTATGCGATCTGTAACTTTGTTTTTCTTTCTCAATTTTAGGTTTATGGGAGTCATCCATGTTGACACTTACAGCTCTCATTCCTAGATGTTCGCTGCTGTATAATATTCCATTACACGAACATACTACATAATGGCTAGAAACACTACCTGTTGTTTCTTATGGATGCCATGTACTGCCTACTCTGTGCCGGCCATTTTCCAGAATTCTCAAAACTAACCAGTGAGGATGGTAAGATTCCCATTAGGCTGAAGAAGAAACTGGGACAGAGAGGTTGTATAATTTGCTCAACGCCTGTCAGCAGCAAATTCAAGCCATAAATTTAAGTCCATCCAACTCTAAAGCCGCACTCCTGATACTGTATTTTGTAACCCCACTTATCTAGATATCTCCACCATTCAAAAAAACTGTAATGAAAATATCTGATAGAGGGCTCCAAAGTCATCTGAGAAAAGCTGAAACAGGATGCTCTATTTTCTGTTTTAACAAACAATTCGACAGGAAATTCAGCTGTACAAAGGGACAGTCCACGACAGTGAGGACAAGTCTTTCTTTGGCAAAAGTCCCTGTGTACTTGCTAGGGTCACTCCAAAGTTTACACAAATGCTTCTAAGTAAACCCCAGTTGAACTACAACTCTGCTTGGCTTCCTTTGGAGAACCAGGCTGTCTGCACCCACTTAAAGAAGGGATGGAAGAATCTAAAAGGACACAAGAACACAGTAATCAGCCTCTGCTTGCAACAGCAAGAACTGAGTTGACAAAACTCTGAAAAACGACCTCGGGGAGCAGCCCCAACTGCTGCTGGCTTCAGAGATCCCGGGAACAGCCCTGTGCTTACAAGGCCAAGGGTGCTAGGCTCAGCCCATTCTGCTCTCTACTTGGCCCGCTTTGCAAAGTTTTCATACATCCCAGCCCAGCCCTGCTGCTCTGGAGAAACCCAGCTTGCAATACGGAAGAGAAGAGAGACAGAGATGAGTGAGGGTGGAGGCTCACAGGAACCAGGCAAGGCGGGAGGCTGGGAGAGAGACCAGATTCCAGGCCAAGGCCCAGACTGGCTCAGGTGCTGGAAGCAGGAGGGCCCCTAGGAGACAATGGGAGCCCCCCAAGAACTAGGGGGGAGGAGGGGCTTCTGAGCACCATGGTGACTCCTGATGAAAGTTCCATGCTTCAACACAGGAAGCTTCAAATGCGCAAGGCAGGACTGGTTGAAGGAACCCTTTCCCTCCTCTCCCAGCCAAAGCAGGGAGCAAGCAAACAGGCTTCGCTACTGACTGACTGTGTGAACTTAGCAGCAGTATCCCTGCTGACTCTGGAGGGGATCTCTGACTCTCTCTCTCTATAATCTTGGATGCCGTAACATTTACCAGTAGTTAGCGTATATTTCATGTAACCCCAACTCCCCCAAGATGTAGATACTACTACTATCCCCATTTTACAGATGAGGCAGCTAAAGAGGGTAATAATTTAGTCAAGGGCAGGAAGCCTTCAGTCATGAGTGCCTGGGAGGGTTACACAGGACATCCACAGAAGAGGGGTGAGGAGAGGAGGGGAGGTGGACAGAGAGGACCCGAGGGAAGGCGCAGCGGGTGATAACGGGTCAAGGGGCTGAGGGCCCAGCCATTCTGGTCTAAACTCAGGTGAAGAGCTTGAGATGGGGACACGGGGACAGAGTCTGAGAAAGAAACGGGGAAAGGCTGGCAGACGGGCTTTTAAGAAAGGGAGGGTGAACGGAGAAAGTCCGACGGGCAGAGGAGCTAGTCTGAGCTGGGTGCGAGGGGCACCCCAAGGCTAAGAGGAGGGAACTCAAGAAGGGCGTGTGCACGCGTTGCCGGGAAGCAGGTGCTGGGCTGCAGGGGCGCGGTCCCACCTTGAGCACCGTGACGGCTCCCGCGCTGCGCACCTGGAAGTGCGCGGGCGGCTCGGCGCCGGGCTCGGCCGCCTCGTCGGGGCCCGAGTAGCTGAAGCAGGCGTCTGCGATGTCCAGGTGGCCGAGGGGCATCGCGTCCTGCGGGCTCTTGAAGTAGTAGAGGTAGCAGCGGCGCGCGTCGAACACGAACCAGCGGTTGCGGTAGCCGCGCAGCGGGCCCTTACCGGACAGCTTCTGCAGGTACCCGCACAGCCGCGCCGGCTCCCGCCCCGGCCCTGCCCCAGGCTCGGCCGCGGCACCCGGGGCCGCGCCCTCGCCACCGCCGCCCTCCTCCCCGCGGGCCGCGGGCCCCGGCATTGCCAGCCCCCGAGCCAACCGCCGGCGCCCGGGCCCCCAGCGCCTCGCCGCCGCCGCCGCCGCCGCCGCTGCTGCGCCCCCTCCCCTGAGCCCCGCCGCTCCGCACGGCTGGCGGGCGCGCAAAGCAGCCTGGGACTTGTAGTCCCACCCCCGCCCGCCCCCAGGAACGCCCGCTTCGACCCGGGGCTCTCCCGCAGGCACCCCAGAGGCAGGTCTGGTAGCATCACCGCCTGCCTTCTGTGCCTCCGTGTAACCTGGGCTCAAAACCCCGCGTTGCCAAGCTGAACACTGTTCCGTTTCTTTACGGGAGTGTGTAAACTTGCAGTTCTCAAAAATCCATCAGTGTCCCCTTGAAATTGTACATTTCTCTCTTTATAAATTATACCTCAGTGCCAAACTTTGGTTTTAAATCTTTGCCCTGCCAGATTCATAGGCTAGTATTGCACAACCGAGAGAGCTTAGTGCTTGGCGCTGAGTGGGTGCTCAGTAAATGTTTATAGAATCTGTGAATGAAAGCCAAAACTTTTCCCACCTCTCCAGATCTCAGTGGGTTCACGTTCTGAATTCAACAAATACATACTGAGCCCCTTCTATGTGCCAAGTACAGTTCCAGACGCTGGAGGACAAGGTAGTGAACAAGCTGCAAAATCATTCCCCTGCCCTCATGGAGATAATAGTCTAGTAAGGGAGAGAGAGGATACCCACATAAAAAGGCAGATAAAAGTATACTGTGCCAGTGATGTAACTTAAAAAAGGATTGCCACTTAAATAGCCCTTAGTGTTACCAGTGTTTTATGTATCAGCTCATTTGAACTTTCACAGTAACTTCAAGAGGCAAGTGCCTTTGTTTCACAATAATGCAAGAGGAGAGCAGGAGGGTCAGGCTACCTTTCAGGGGATCAGGGAGGCCCCACTGAGGAGGTGACCTGGAGCAGAGACCTAGATGACGTGAGGGAATGAGTCATGCAAGTTTGTGGGGGAAATGTGAATACTAAAGCTCACTCTACTTAATGAAGAATGGAAGGTCATAGCGATATTTGTGAAAGGACCAGATCAAAACAGTATCTCACCTTCTTTGGTTTGCATGTTTTTACATAGGTGGAAAACGAACTTTCTGAGATGGATGGAACCCTGAATCAGACTGCTTACTGGGAGGCAGGTTGAAAGAGTGAGCTCACGCAGCCAGCCAACCAGCTGTGGGCCCTGTGTTAGCTGGGCCTGTGCTGCCCCACCTCTCCCTAGGCCCGTCAAGGATCTGCCTGGGTGGCCATGGCAAGGGCACCTCCATCTCAGCACCCTTTAGAGCTCTTTGAGTGCAATATGCATCAAGTCAAAGACTGGACTGTGAATCCAGACTGATGGAATCTGTCTCCTAGCTCTGCTACTAACCAGTGGTCTGCTTTGGGTAAGTTATGTTACCTCTCTGAGCCTCAGTCTCATCATCTATAAAATGGGGATAGTACAAGTAGTTACTTCATACCATTGTTCTTATAAAGATTACGAAATCATGTGAACGTGCTTAACATGGCACCTAGCACAGTAAGCACTCAGTATATGTATTATTACTGTTATACAGTTAGCACTGATCTGCTGAAATCAGCAGATTCTGAGAGGGGGCTCTCGCAGCCTCAATACACAGGAGGCCAGAGAATGCACTGCAGGAGTGGGATGGGCCACCCTCGGGAGTAAAGGAATCGTGTTTCATGTGCCTTGCCATGAGCAAGAGGGGCTGTGATTAGTTGGCTTGTGGGCTAGGAAGCCAGAGGAGGGTGTGACCGAGAAGTCCTATGGAAAGGGGAAGAGCTGGGAGAACTGGGTCTGTACAGCTCCTGGACACAGCTACACACAGGAGGCATACAGGAGGCCACAGGGCAGGAGCGGGTACAGCCCCCCTCTATCCTCTGCTCTGTCAGTGAGTTGTGCAAAAGTAAGGATGGCCATAGCCTGCTGTCACCGAGGACAGACTAAGCCCTTGGGGTATCTGGTGGAGGCAGGTATCTGCTAGGCACGAGGAAAGCATCCTTCCCAGGTGGCAGGAGTGAGCCCCCTCACCCTGGGGTGCAGGTCTGGCCTGGCTGGCTGGGTCTGGGCAGTTGGTATTCGACAAGGGATCTCTGCAGGCCCTGGCAGAGCTGGTGGTTGTGCTTCTCAGCGGGCAAGCTGGCCTCAAGCCTGACCCTCCTGCACTAGAACTTCCACTCTCCCTGTCATTTCAACATGCTCGCAGGCCCTCTTTCTCATGGAGGCCATACCCCACATCAGATCAAACATATTAAAATGCCCCACATTCCATAGTAAACATAGGCATAACATTTGCTCTAAAAATGTTTGAAGGAGTTTCTAGAATTATGCTCTGGATAGTATCTATGAGGAATTCTTTTTAATATATATTTGGCTACTACATCTTGGCAGATATCATGTCTATGTGGGAATCCTGGCTGAGTGAGAAAAACCCAACCTATAAATTGTTTTCAAAGGGAGGAACGTTTTTATGATGTTTTTATGAAGTAGACATAATGTTATACTTTTCAGACATGTAATGAAACGTTTATTAATTTTGACTTACCTCATTTCCTGGGGTTTTTTTTAGTCTACGGACATTTCCCAGGTCCCTTGAAAGTTGGCAGATCTAGGTGCTGGTACTGGTTTAGTTGCTAAGTCATGTCCAACTCTTGAGACTCCATGAACTGTAGCCTGCCAGGCTTCTCTTTCCATGGGATTCTCCAGGCAAGAATACTGGAGTGGGTTGCCATTTCCTTCTCCAGGGCATCTTTCCCACCCAGGAATCGAACTCGAGTCTTCTGCACTGCAGGCAGATTCTTTACTCACTGAGCTACAAGGGAATCCCTGTGGTGCTGAGCCTACACTATCTAAAAACTCTATAAACTCTCCTGGCCCTTGCCAGGCCCAGAATATGGCCCTCTCTGAGGAGGCACAGCTACAAGCCCAGAGACCCCAGTGAGACAGGCAAAATGTGGAGGCCTCAAAACTGGGGGCAACATCTCAGTAGGGGCCTCTGGAGGGCCCCACATCTCTGCAGAGCCAAGCAGACGTAGCCCAAGCATTCCAAGGCTCCAGCACCAACCCCAACACCCTCTGGACCCTCCAGACTTCTCCCAGGCCCCTTACCCTGCCAGTTCTCTCTGGGTCACCCTGGGATGCTGGTTATTTCATGAACAAACCCTGCATTGTCTCACCCCACCCGCCTCTGTTCCTAAAGCTAAAAGCTAAAGCGCCTATATGATGGACCTTCATCTCATCTCTCTTAGCAGTTCTCTCCAAATTCATTTTGGACAATTTTATATTTTATGTAAAATGCTAAACAAATGCAGCTTCATTTCCCCCCCCTTTTCTAGCCAGATCATCCCCTCAAGGTCCTCCCACATGGTCATCCTGGGGCTGCCCCTCATGGTTCCTAATTGCTTGGCGCCCTTCTTCAATGACTTATTGACATTTTGCAGTTTCCAGTCTTGTAGATTAAAAGTCAGTGTCCTGTGGTCAGGGCTTCCCTGGTGGCTCAAGCAGTAAAGAATCCACCTGCGATACAGGAACCGCAGGAGACTCTGGTTTGATCCTTGGATCAGGAAGATCCCCTGGAGGAGGGCATGGCAACCCACTCTAGTATTCTTGCCTGGAGAATCCCATGGGCAAAGGAGCCTGGCAGGCTACAGTCCATGGGGTTGCAAAGAGTCGGATACCACTGAAGCAACTTAGCATGCACGTGTGGCCTCTGGTCAGACGCCAGCTTTACACAGCCTGCGTGCCTGCCCTGTGTCCAGTAAAGGCAAGCTCGGTGCCAGGTCTGTCCTGCCTGTCCATGTGAGCCCCTGCCCCTCGAGCCTCTCAGGAACCCAGTGACCAGAAGGAAGTGGGCAACGCAGGAGGAAGTGACTGCTGTTTACTGAAAAGAGGAAATTTGGGCAATGAACTTGCTCCCACATGGCCGGGCTCTGGGCAAACCCCGGGGGAACACAGAGCTAGTGACTCATCCTAGTCCAGTTTCCCTAGCAAGAAACAGGGTGAGAGGCCTCTAAGAAGCACCCAGCCACCCACTGCCTTTTCAATTCCCAGACCCCAGGGTCCGGTGCTGGCTAAGACCCCAACCTGCCATAGGAGGAGCCCTCAATCCTGTGGGGAACCCAGAGAGGAAAATAGACCTTACCACCTGATATGCTGTGTGTCCTTTGGCATGTCTCTGCCCTCTCTGGGCTACAACTTCCCAGTTGTTCCATGAGGGAATGGATGGCAAAGTGATCTGTAAGGGCCCTGCCCACCTGCTCTGAAATGTATCAGTGGCATAAGGCACAGCTGTGAGGGCCTGTGGTCATTCTCCCTGCAGCTCCCCAGACCAGCAGAGGCTCTGTTTTGCTTTTTGAGCCTTCCTGTTCAAAGGCCTCTTGATCCTTCCAGCTATTGCAACTCACCTGACCCTTGCTTTTAGGACTCTGTCTCATCCTGCAAACTTGGCCACCCGCTCTGGTTAGTGCAAGCCTGACCACTTCACCTCTCCCCAGGCCCTGCTGGAGAAGCTGTCCTGGTGCAAAGGGCACCCATGGAGGCCTTCTGTGCCTGAGGCAGAGAGGACCGGCAGAGATGGTTCCTCTGCTTGGGGCTAGGGGCCACAGTGCAACTTTGGTGGGGCTTTGCTCAACCCGGAGCACATCTGGAGGAAGTTGGCCTGGACGGGGAGGAGATTGGAGTTCACAGGGCAAGGCTGGGGTACTGCAGCTGTGAATGGGCTGAGCGCTGGACAGTTGGAGAGGGGACAGGGAGAGGCAGACCATCTTCAGAGCCGGGCTGAACTGACCCCTGGGAGACGCCACCACCACCACCCAGGGAGAGCGCTGTCTGTGCTTTCATCCAGCTCAGCGCCACGCCACCTGCCCTGATAGAGGGTCAGCGGAGAAATGGATAGGGCCGCTGGAAGCAGTGGCAGTGGGAGAGGGGTCTCCCAAATAAAGGAGGGGCTGTATGACGTTGGGTGGATCTCCCAGCCACTCTGTGCCTCAGTTTCCTCATCTGTAGAACCAGACATAATGACCGCTTTATCTCCTAGACTGTTGTGAGGCTTAAATGAGATAAATGCAAAAGTGTTTGGCACAGTCCCTGACATGTGGTAAGGCCTCAGAATGGTAGCTGATTCATTCAACGGACATCCCCAGCCCCTGCTCTTTGCTTCCTCCTGGTGTTGAGTGATGCTGAAGCTCTGAAAAGGAGTGTGGGGGAGCTTCAGAGGGGAGCCCCACCAGGGAACCCTGTCAGTCTGGATTTGCTCTCTCCAGCTTCCAGGAAGCCTCGTTTCCCTACCAAATTGGCAGGCAAATCTAACACACCTGTGGTTCTCTTTCCTAGAGGGAAGGCATCTGGGATGCCTGCCAAGCTCCCAGTCCCAAGGACAAGGGAGCCAGGACTCAGGTAGAGGCCTGGATGCCCTGGAGGGCGGGGTGGAAGGCTTGCAGGGGCTGGGTGCCAGGCAGTGGAGGTCCACATAGCAGTTAGGGAGCCACATTGCCCAGGAAGCAGGGGAGGGCTGGATCACTGGGGAGACAGTGGGGCTGTGCCTACAGAGGTCCTGTCCTGTCTGGTCAATGTCCTGCTTCTGGGCCTGGCCCTGTGCCCAGGACACTGTAAGCCCTTCTGCTTTCCCCACTCCTTTCTCAAGGGCCCTCTTGCCATCCCCTTCCCGGGACCCCCTATCCCTCAGCCAAACTTGAGCTCAGATTCTTCCTCCCTGCTCACGCAAGCCCTGGGACTGCAGCCCTCACTGTGAGGCCCAGTCTGGGAGGTAAGGGCATTTTAACTGAAATCTTGAAGAGATGCTGTTCTAATGCTAGAAGTATAGACATCATCTTGGTTGGGCAACGAGTCTCCAAAGGAGCTTAAAAGGTGCTTGTGCAGGAGGTCCAGTGGGTAAGACTCCGCACTCGCAAAGCCCCAGGCCCAGGTTCATTCTTGGTTGGAGAACTGGATCCTACCTGCCGCAGGGAAGATTTCATGAGCTGCAACTAAGACCCAGCACAGCCAAAATAAATAAATAATTAAAAAAAAAAAAGCGGTACTTGTGCAAGCAAAGCAATAAGGGGACACGACCTTGGAGCAGGGATCCCCAACACCCCCAGGTGGTGGCCTGTTAGGAACCAGAGCTGCACAGCAGGAGGTGAGTGGCTGGCAAGCCAATGCATCTTCATCTGCCTCTCCCATCACTCCCATTACCATCTGAACCATCCCCCTCAACTCTGACCATGGGAAAACTGTCTTCCACGAAGCCGTGCCCTGGTGCCAGAAAGGTTGGCTTGGAGGGAAGGCCACTGTCTTGGAAGGAAGGTCCCAGAAGGCAATCAAGATGTGATAATGGGCAGTGAAGAGACCTGGAAGGAGCTGATTTGGAGAGAAGAGGAGAGCGTTTTCAGATTGGTTTTGTATTTTGGAGATTGAATATATTGACAAAATATTCATCAATTTTGATTTAGTGCATTTTTTTAAGTACTTATAGAGTTTGAGTAGCAAGGAAAGGAGCTCCAGGTAGGGGAGGGGTCAAGAGCAAAGGTATAGAAGGTGGAGGCAGCATATATGAGGAAATGGGGAAGGACCCCCAGCTTCTGGTCTCGGCCCTGCCACTGACTTACTCTTTGTTTCCAGTAGCCCGTTTTCAGCCCTGAGTCTCTGTTTCCATCTTTACAGTAGGGACAAGTGGAGACAGTAATGCTATCTCGTCTACCTGTTATAAAAGGGAAAGGCAATCACATATATGTATTTGAAATGTTTGGCACGTGATAGGGGCTCAGTGTCATTATAGAGCTCCTATGGGCCCCCATTTCCCAGCAGTGAGGGGCAGCCCCAGATGTCCAAACTGTCAGGTGTGCCAGGACCCATGGCAGCCCCCTGGCCTCCAAGAAACTGTAGAGCAAGCTTTCCAACATGTGATCCTCAGGCCCTGATCTTCTCAACAGGTTCCTGTATACCTGTCTCTTCTTTAGTTCTCATGAGTAAATGGCATGTAACTGTGTAGCTTTTCATTTTTGCACAGGACTCAGAACTACTCACCGGTGAGGTCTATCGAGAAACAAATTTATGTCTTGTTCTTGATGCCAAAACTGAGAGGTATAGCTAATGTGGGAGACCCTCTGATCTGAGGGGTGGGTTTACTTTCCTCTGTGATTGTCAGGAGCCCACAGGCCCAGAGCAAGGATACTTTATGGAGTGGGGCTGACAGTGTTTTTAAGATCTTGGTAGAGCTTCCCAGGTGGCGCAGTGGTAAAAGAACCTACCTGCCAGTGTAGGAGACACAAGACATACGGGTTTGATCCTGGGTCAGGAAGATCCCCTAAAGTAAGAAATGGCAACTCACTCCAGTATTCTTGCCTGGAGTCCATGGACAGAACCTGGCAGCTACAGTCCATGGGACTGCAGAGTTGGATACACAGGTCCAAGGCACTTTGGAGTCTGCATCTCACTACATAGCAAATAAATAAATATATATAAATATATGAATATAATGGCACAGTCACATTTTAAATTATATACAATATAATATTATTTTATATTATATAGTTATATTAATATGACACATATGACATAATATTCTATATGTCTTATGTACAACATATATAATCTTTTTTACTTTGAACTTCTTTGGAAATGATTACTTTTATAGTTTTGCTTTGGAATGGTTTGGCTTTGAGAATTCATTTAATTGACAATTGGTAATCTGTTGGCAGTTTTCCTGCACACTTGGGAATTCTTATGAGATTAAGACAATCTGACCTCCAAACCATTTTCAGATGTGAAACTTTTGTGAATACTGAATGAAGTTGATGCAATGATACATTGTATAGACATTTGCTTTTACATTTGTTGTGATTTTTCAGTTTTCTTCTTTTGGATTTGGGAGCAAATACTGGTAGGGTTTTGTGTTGTTATTGTTTTTCAGGCCTCAGACATTTTAACCAGCCCTTGTAAAGTTCTCAGTACCTAGCCATTGTCCTATAAATATTATTAAAACAGAACTGCCTGTTTGCTGGGATGATTGTACCGCCCTCCTACCCCAAGAGCCATGCTCTGTAGATGAGAAGACAAGCTTTCTCAATGATGTCGAAGGGGCAAAAAAAGTCAAAGTAAAATTGGTGACTTCTCTGGAGCAGCACCGGCCCCCTCCTAGTTTTTCTTGCTAGCTGGGGGCCCCCAAATGACTGAGCTTGGATATATTATCTATTTGTCTATTCATTCATTCAGTATTTCTTGAGTGTAAATGACTACAACTCCTAAAGAAGACAATTTGGCAACATCTATCAAAATGACAAATGCAAATACCCTTTTGATTGAGCAATCTCTCTTCTGAGAATGTGTTCCATGGATGTACTCACCCTTGTGCTTAATCAAATCTGTATAAAGTTATCCACTGCTGCATTGTGGGAAGTATAAAAACACTGGAAACAACCCAGATGACCGTCACTAGGGAACTGGTTACAAAAATGATTGTGCAGCCATGTAGCTGTAACAAAAAGAATGGCATCCCTCTATGTATTCTTATGAAAGGAACTCTAAGATCTGTTACTAAAGAGTTTTACAAAGCAAAGTGCAGGACACTGCATAGGATTCTACCCTTCTATAACAAAGGGAGGAAAATAAGAATATACATATTTACTTGAATATGCATAGAGAAACCCAGAAAGAACATTCAAGAAATGAATAAGAGTAGTTCTTTGTGGGAATGAGATGGCACTGGGTAGATGCGGGTTTAATGCCTAGAGGAAGAAGATTTTTAGGGATACCTTTTTTATACTTTTTGTTATTTGTTTATTTTTATTTTTGGCTGCACTGGGTCTTTGTTGCTGCATGTAGGCTTTCTCTAGTTGCAGTGAGTGGGGGCTACTGTCTAATCGCAGTGTGTGGGCTTCTCATTGTGGTGGCTTCTTGTTGCAGAGCATGGTCTCTAAAGTGTGTGGGCTTAGTTGTTGTGATACATGGGCTTAGTTACCCCTCAGCATGTGGAATCTTCCTAGACCAGCGATGGAACCCGTGTCCCCTGCATTGGCAGGCGGACTCCCAACCACTAGACCACCAGGGGAGTACTACATTTTTTATTTTTAAAAACCATGTGGATATATTACACATTTAGATGATAATTTAAAATATACCTATTGAGCATCTAACTATGCCAAACATGGTTCTAGGCACAGAGTACAGTGGAGAATAAGGCAGACAGTCTGAGAAAAAAAGAAATAGGATCGTTCATTCTGCACTCCCTACTATTGTGGAATAAATTCTAATGGAATAACCAACTAAGGGGCACAAAAATGCAGTGTTCATAAACTAAAACAAACATGTGACTAAAATTTACTGAAAAGCCCACTTTGGCATTCTCCGTGGAGGCTGGCTGCCAGCAGCACTTGGCCGTGTACTAGGTTCCCACACCACAGAGTCAACGAAGCAGGAGGAGAAGCGGCAGTGCTGGGGTGCTGGCCATGCTCCGTGAGCCTCGGTCAAAGTGAGTGGAAAGACGCTGCCTCTGAGCATCCTTCTGGAGAAGTCTGAGAGATTTCTGCCTGAGAAGGCACAGCGGACTGAGCACCCTCAGGAGAGAGTAATTTACTGGATGGTCGGTTACCATCTATTTGTCCTACAGCAGAAGCATGGCCTTGACAGAGAACCCAGGATAAGGAAGCTTTGATGAGACAGACAGAGACTCAGAAATATGGGGACTTCCCAGTGGGGAGATGACTTGGAGCTGGGGCTGATGATTATTGCATGTGCACCGTGCCTCCCGGCCTCTCCTCTGCATTGGATTAGCTCACCGGATCCCCAATCCCTACTAGGTGTGTACTTTTTATGCGTACTTTTTATCCCTTTCATTTTTACTGATGAGAAACTGAGACACACGGAGATTAAGTACCTCCCTCAAAGTCACCAAGCCAGCAAATGGGGGAACCAGGATTGTAAGTTGCTTAGTCCGACTGCAAGAGCCTGAATCTGCTCAGTTCCTCTTCCTACACCTCTGGGCACCCAGGGATGGAGAAGCAAGTTGGGCGCTCTGGAGTCTTCTCTCTGTCCCAAGGCCCAGCCCCCAGCAGGTAAGCACAGCCATGAACTGAAGAGTCGGTTATGGAGTGCCTTCAGGGAAAACCGACCCCTCAATCTTTCACAGAGCTCACTTGATGCCCCCAAAACTGGCCTCACCCCCATTTCCTCTGAGTGTAAAAATAGACTCCCCTTTATTTGCCTGCCTTTGGAATCTTCATATCTGTCCTGCAGCCATCCTGGGCTCCCCCTTCCTGTACACAAAACCTTTCTCTTCTTATGCAAATGGCCAAGTTCTGCTCATAAAAGTACCCCACCTAAGAGGGAGGTGGAGAGATAACACCTCATGGAAAATTATAGAAACACATTTCTTTGTATTTGAATACTTCCAGGACTTTGTGTTGGCAGCAGACCAACTCTGGGTCTAACCCCAGCTTCCTTGGCCTTTTTTAGGCCGTGGACCTCTCTGGTATCTGATGAAGTTCGTGAACTTTTTCTCAGAATAATATTTTTAAATGCATGAAATAAAATACATAGAATCACAATGGAAATCAATCATATTGAAATAAAGTTATTCAAAAATCTGTGATGCAGTAATACAGTGTGCTTCTTTATTAGCATGTTAAAGAACAAGATCCAGCATTGGATTTAATTATTTTGAGGTAATCGTGAACAAAATCAATATCTGAAGATGTCTGCCACAGCTGTAACGTGATATGAGAGTATCTGTAATTTCCATTGGTGACAAAGTCACAAGTTCTATGAATACTAATAAGGTTTGTTCTCTGCGCTCGTCATGGAAGGAAATGCTGAATTTCAGTTAGAAATTGGGGAAGATAAAGATGTAATCCACCCCTGTTCCTCCCCCACCTCAACTTAGGAAATTCCAGTCCTTGCCAGTTTGGGCCTGTGATTTCCATTGTGACCCCAGTGTATCCCTGGCCTGCAGCTGTGACCGGAAGACAGTTTCACAAGTACATGAATCCCTCCAGGATCCCTTGGCTGGAGTTGACTCCTCTCTGTCAAGGCTGGAAATTGTTTATAAAGGTGGTGTTCCCAGTAGCTGACCCTGGGGATCCTTGCTATGTGCCTGTCGGCCTATCCCATATGAAAAGCATGACCTGCAATAGCTCACTCCATCGACAGGTGAGGCAAGTAGATGCCTTGCAGCCCTGTTCACAGATGTGAGAAATGAGTCTCAGAGACAGGGAATAAGCTGTTCAGATGGAGGTTGCAGGTGTGCGTCATGCCCTGGCCTTTCCTCTGAGTTGTACATATTACATACTTGTCATCGATCACTTTCTCTTGATTTGAGGTGACCGTGATGAAATTGTAATAATAGTAATAATGAAAATAATTACCAATGGGAGGACCCACTGTATTTTAGAGTCATTATGTCATCATCAGAGCTGATCCTAATAGCTTGTGTTCCAAACTCTGTTCTAAGGACATAACTCATCTTACCTTCCAAGCAACAGGTCATTTTCTTGTCCCTGTTTCAGAGATGACGACACTGAAGCCCAGAAAAATTAAGTCATTTCCTCAAGGTCCCACAGCTGGTCAGCTGGGATTAGAACCAACGAAAGACAACTGCAGGATCCTCATTTTTTAGTAAGTGAGCTGTTTTGTTGAAGTAGAACATGTACATAGAAAAATGCATAGGTCATGAGCCCAGAGCTCAACGAATTTTCACAAAGTGAATACATTTACCTAACACACCACCCAGATCAGGAAATAAAACATGATCACCACCCTGCAGCCCCTCACCCCTTCCTTATCATATACTCCCCAAGGCAAACATTATCCTAACTTTTATTGTTATTGGTCAGTTCTACTAGTTTTTTAGCTTATACATATGTTCCCTTATTCTTAAGCAAAATGAAAGTGAAAGAGAAAAGTGAAAAAGCTGGCTTAAAACTCAATATTTAGAAAACTAAGATCATGGCATCTGGCCCCATCACTTCATAGCAAATGGATGGGGAAACAACAGAAGCAGTGAGAGAGTTTATTGTCTTGGGCTCCAAAATCATTGCAGATGGTGACTGCAGCCATGAAATTAAAAGACACTTGCTCCTTGGGAGAAAAGCTATGACAAACCTAGACAGCATATTAAAAAGCAGAGACATAATAAATAAATTAATTAATTAAAAGCAGAGACATTACTTTGCCAACAAAGATCCAGCTAGAGAAAGTTATGGTTTTTCCAGTGGTCATGTATGGATGTTAGAGTTGGACTATAAAGAAAGCTGAGCACTGAAGAATTGATGCTTTTGAACTGTGGTGTTGGAGAAGATGCTTGAGAGTCCCTTGGACTGCAAGGAGATCCAACCAGTCAATCCTAAAGGAAATCAGTCTTGAATATTCATTGGAAGGACTGATGCTAAAGCTGAAGCACCAATACTTTGGCCATCTGATGTGAAGAAGTGACTCATTTGAAAAGACCCTGATGCTGGGGAAGATTGAAGGCAGGAGGAGAAGGGGATGACCAAGGATGAGACAGTTGGATGGCACCACCAACTCGATGGACATGAGTTTGAGCAAGCTCCAGGAGTTGGTGATGGACAGGGAAGCCTGGTGTTCTACAGTCCATGGGTCGCAAAGAATTGGACACGACTGAGCAACTTAACTTATTCTTAACCATTGTGCTATCTCATTTAGTTGTCATAATGGCCCTAGAGTCTAGAAAGTAGCTTTTTAAAAATCATTCCCGTTGAAAAAACTGAGCTATCTGCAGCCACTTAGTAACTGCCTTCAGGCCCCCGACAGTGTAATGATTCTAACCCAGATCCTTGGGGCGGGCTGTCTGCAACATCCCCTGCCTCCCCGTCACCCAAGTCTGAATTTCTGCTATGAAACTCGGAAACACATTAAAAGTTCAGTGATGTTTGCATGAACAAATATCCTGGGCCCTACCTGGTTCACTGCTTCCTCTCAAAGGCCTTATGGCAGCCCTGCTAGGGTATCAGAGAGCAGAGGCCCACTTCATAGTCTTTGCACTTGCTTTTCTATCTTCTGAGAGCAGCATCTCTTCCCCAGTCACCAGCCTGGCCTCCTCTTTTGCTGCTCCAATGGTACTTTCTGGACAAGGCTTCCCCCAACCCTGAACCCCCGTCTAAATAACACACCCATTCATCTTCTTCCTCTCTTTCTTGGAGTGCTTATTACAGTTGACACCATATTCTACATATTGTCTATTGCCTGTCTCCTTCCACTAGAATGTATGTGCCACAAGGCAAAATGCTCTTTGGATTACTGCTTTATTCCCAGGGCCCACAAGTATGTAGCACACAGTAGGCAGTAAAGTTTGAGTAGGGGGAGGAATTCACCAGCACGGGACTTCACCAAAATGCAAGTGGCCTCCATGAAGGAAGGATAAGTAGAATTTAAATTCACCACTTTGCTAAGAGTGGCAGTGCCTGGCCTTTAGCCAGAGTCTGGTCTTTAGCCGAGACAAAGACCGGAGGTTGGGGGAAGGGGCCAAGCCCAGTGTGCGCCTCATCTGCTAGCCAGGAAGTCAGGGATGCCCCCCCACCCCGGGCCTGTCTAGCTGCTAATGTGACCCTCCCCAGCGCCCCCAGCCAGCCAAGGTGCCCCACCTCCGAGCATGAGAGGGGGGCCAGCCCACACATTGTCAGAGCTGACAATGGGGCTCCTGTGTGCCGTGGGCGGTTGCAGAGGGCATGGACTCAGGCAAATGAGCCGTCAATCCATCAGGCGCTCACAGATATAGAGGCATGCGGGTGGTCTGGGCTTGGCTTCCACCTCAGTGCTCGCCAGAATGGAGGCCCACCTCAGGCAGCTCAGCCTGGGCAGGGGGCCCGAGGGGGTTGGGGACAGACAGGCCCTGGCTGAGCTGCAGGAACTGGCCCTGAGCTGGTTCATGGAGACGCAAGCCCCCCTCATTCTGCAGAATGGAGCCCTGCCCCCCTGGTTCCACGGATTCATCACCCGCAAGTAAGGCTGCCCCTGTCCACACCCCCAGCGGGGCCCATAGGCCCTCAGGGCCGAAAAAAATGGTCTGGGGCCAGATTGGCCCCGGCCTTCTCCGTGGGGGAGGCAGGGACCCCAGGAGGCGGTGGGTGGGGAAGCAGACTTAGGAGCACCAAGTTCTCTGACGGCTGCTTCTGTGGGTAAGGGGGTGAAGGCCTTGGCCCCCCTCTATAAGTTTGCTGGGGCTGCCAGTTTGCCAGAAAAGCAGAGGCAGGGAGGGGGGCGGGGGGCGGCAGGCTGGATCAGAATGCATTCAGACCAGCTCTGAATACCTTGATGAATTCCTAGGGGTGCTGTTTCATTTATCATCCAAACCAGAACACTATTAGTAAGTGGAGAATTTACTAGGAGACCTGTTTTAAGTGGGTACTGTCCCACGCAACCCTGGATATAGAGTTACTCTAGGAATAAAGGCCAAAATGTGGGGGCTGGCTTTCTGATTGGAGTGGATCTCCAACCACTTGCTGAAGGAAAGACAAATGTGGCCAGCCGTTGGGTCCTCCCGGCCCAGCACTTAGCACTGAACCAGGGCCAGCTTCGCCGGCATCAACTCATATTGTAACATGGGGCGCTTTGCTCAGAAGGGCCCTATTCTTGGCTGAATACACTGCAGTCCCCATGCTGAAATTCTTACTTTTTAACTGAGAGGCTCCAGATTTTCATTTAGTACTGAACTCTGCAAAATCTGTAGTTAATCCTGCATAGGGCAGGCACTCAGTATTTGGTGAATAAGTGGGTGAGGAACTATTTGGTCTATGTACTGCCAAACCAGAAGACAGCTGGAATTTTCCACCATGCCTCCAGAATACTTGGCATTATTTAGCAGTATCCATAGTGGCCTGGGGTTGAAGGGGATGTGCAAAGGAGAGAGATGAGAACCTAAGAGTTGCTCACATGGTTAGGCTCCAGATATAATAGCACCTTCTCCCTGCAGAAACTCTTGCAAAGTACACATCCTGCACAACTGTGCAGCAATTGTCCACATGGCAGTACACAGCAATCCTGAGGCAAGGATCCACAAAACTGAACATCTCCCACTATATGGATTCCTTCTTGCTATAGGGCCATTCAGGTGGAAAGGGGCAGTGGCTTTTGTGCCTACTGCTGAGGCTGTAAGTGGGGCAATGTACGTGACCTCAGGACTCCAACCCAGCACCAGACTGAGTCTTGAATTTGCTTGACTGAGCCCAGACAGGCCACAGGACCAGCCAAAGTTCTGAGGGAGTTCTCTATAAAGGTCTGGAGGTCTCTGCTCTGGGTCTGGGGCATGGCTGGCAGGGACCCTGAGGCGGGTCTGACTTTGGGGCTACTCCTGCTGCTGTTGCGGGGACCCAGCCCTGGCTAATGGCATGTCCTCTGCCCAGGCAGACAGAGCAGCTGCTGAGGGACAAAGCTCTTGGCTCCTTCCTCATCCGCCTCAGTGACCGGGCCACCGGCTACATCTTGTCCTACAGGTAAGAGAGGAAGCCCTCTGCCAAGGGCAGGCAGGCAGGCTCCAGCTCCCCCAAGCCAGCCTTGCAGATAAGCTCCGAGTCTTCACCAGCCCACACTGCTGGGATTTCCCCAGGCCCTTACTCCCTGACCCCCTCACTCATCCAACCATGTCCATCAGGCTTTCTGAGCAGTGCCAGCCATATACTAGGAGAAGCCTCTGCCTTCAAGGGGGTGAGTCAGAGGGGCGGGCAGGGGAGAACCTCCTCCTGATGGAAGACTGGGGAAGGTTCACAGAGGTGAACTTTGAGTCCAGGATAGAAGGAAGAAAGCAACTTGCTGGGCAGGAAAGGAGGTGAGATTGGGGGTTAGGAAGGCATTTCCAGTAGGTTAAACTGCACGTGCAAAAGAAGAGAGACAAGGCAGACTAAGGTGTTGGGGACCCACGAGTTGCTGGGTGCAGAAGGATGCGTGGTCCCAGTGGAGCAGTGCCTGGAGAGGAGGGCAGGGGGCAGCTCAGGATAGCCTTAGATGCCGGGCTATGTCCGTCGACAATGAAGGGTCATCAGGTCAGACTTAGATTTTGCAAGGAACCTGCAAGCAGCCTATGGAAGGAGGACTCAAGACAGATACTGGAAGTGTGGGGGCAGTGGGGACCACAGAGGGTGAGGTCTGGGCTCGACGATGAATCTAGACTAGTGTAAGGCAATGGTCCTAGAGACGAGGAGACAAGCTAGCCAGGATGAAGTCAGAGGTGGTGATGTCAGAGCCTGGCCCTAGAGTAGGTTGCAAGGGGAAAGGCAGAAAAAGAAAGAACTTCCCCCTGCCACCAACCCCCAGTTAGGGAGGCAGGCTGGGGCTCCAGGGAAACTCCCAAAGGTCTCAGATTCAGATTCAAAATTATCATCTGTTCTGACTGTCCCAGTTCAAATCCTGACCTTGAGCAAGTTACTCTGCCTCTCTGAACCTATGTTTCCTCATCTGTAAAATGGTAATATTGCAGTATTTACTTCATAGAATTGTTGAATGGGTTTGGTGAGTTTAGACCTTTAAAAGTGCTGGTACAGTGTCCTGAACATAGTAAATAAATAAATGTTACTCATTATTAAAATAGTTATTGTTATTCTGTGTCCCTGATACAGTCCTCAGCATTTAGAAATATACAAACTCAGCAGTTTTCAATGTCTTTTCAGCATCAGGGCTTTTTAAAAATTATTATTATTCAAACATGATCTTGGGTGGAATGCCAACTCATTAAAGAGATAAAAGTGGGGTTCCTTGCAGATACACAAATAAACCAATGAATCCAGAAACAGACCCCCACATTTGGTTTACCTGATTTGCAACAAATGTCCACATTTGGTTTACCTGATTTGCAACAAATGTCCACTGTAGTTCAGGGGTGAGGGATGGGGGAAGGCTGGTCTTTTCAATAAGTGGTGTGGGAGTAATTGGATATCCAAATGGAAAAAAAATGACCCCCACCTTACATCATACACAAAATTTAAATAATTCTAGATGGATCATAGATTCAAGTGAGAACAGCAAAACAATACACTTATAAAGGAAAACATGGGAAACATTTTTCATGATTTTGTGGTAGGCAAAGATTTCTTAAATAAGACCCCAAAGTACTGACAGAGAAGCTTAACAAATTGAGTTTCTTAAAACTGAGAACTCTTATTAATCAAAAGATACCATTCTGTGAATAAAAGGACAAGCCACAGTGCCAGAGAGTTTTTGTATAGTAATACATACACCTAATAAAGGATTCATATCAAGAATATATGAAGAACTCCTGCAAATCAGTAAGACAAAGACAACACAGGCAAAATAGAGGCACTTCATAAAAGAGGGTCTAAAAAGGACAGTTCAGCAGCTTTAGTGATGAGGGAAATAGAAACTAAAACCACAATGAACTGCTGGTTACAGTAGAAAGACAGAGGCTACTAAACAGTTTGTGAAGACACAGAACAACTGTAACTCTCATTCTTGGCAATGATTTTAGAAAACAATTTGGCATACTCTACTAAAGCTAAGCATAAGTGTATCCCGGGCCCACCAACTCTCTGTCCTGGGATATTGTCAATAGTAGTGAATACATATATTCAGCAAAAAGCCATGTACAAAAATGTTCAGAGTAACTTCATTTAAAGCAGCCCAGATGTGGAAATCATCTAAATGTCCATCAGCAGAATGGATACATTGTGGATATTTAAATTAAATGGAATACTACCTATCAGTGGGGGGAAAAGAAGCTAATTCTACATGGACATGAAAAAAATATGATTCTACTTATGCAAATTTCCATAATGAGCAAAACTGATCTGTGACAATGGGGGTCAGGGTGATGGCTACTCTGGAAGGGGCCATGAGACAGTCTTCTGGGGAGCTGGAAATATTGTGTTTTCCTCGAGGTGGTGGTTACATGGGAAATTCATTGAGTGGCACACTTAGGATTGTGCCCTTCACTGTGTTTACCCTTATTGTTTAGTTACTAAGTCGTGTTTGCCTCTTTGTGAGCCCATGGACATTTTTGGGACCCTATGCAACCCTGCCAAGGCTCCTCTGTCCGTGGGATTTCCCAGGCAAGAATACTGGAGTGGGTTGCTGTTTCCTCCTCTGGGGCATCTTCCCCACCCAGGGATTGAAACTGCAGTCTCCTGCATTGGCAGGCAGATTCTTTACCACTGAGCCACCAGGGAAGCCCAATACTCTTCCATAAAAAAGGAAAATGAAGAGGGTGGGACTTTATAGGCTGGGGGAGATGGGAGCTGTAATTCCATCTTTTCCACCTGGCTGGAATTCAGGTAAGAGGAGTGAGGTCAAGGTGTGCAAGTGTGGGGTCGGACCTCATCTTTAAGACAGAGGTTTTACTCATCATGGATATTTTGGTATTAATTTTGACTTTCTAAAATATTGCATAACTAGTTGTCCTGATTGCTGAATCTGTGTCACCCCTTTACATTTTGCATCCGAGCCCCAAGCTGAGTGCCTCACTTCCCCTGCCCTTTCCTCCCTGACTGATGCTGCAGGGGAAGCGGGGTGGGGGCGATGGGGGGGGGGGGGAGGGTTGGAACGCCACTCCCTAGGTCCCCATCACCTGCAAGTCTGGGCTTGTTGGATGTCAAGTCCTACTTTCCAGAGGAGCACCTTGAGGCCCCAGAGAGCAGCGTGGCCCCGGGTCAGCTCCAGCCCTGGGCCAAGGCAGAGCTGCCAGTTGTCCTTGTGTTGCAGGGGCAGTGACCGCTGCCGGCATTTTGTCATCAACCAGCTCCGAAACCGGCGCTACCTCATCTCAGGGGACACCCAGAGCCACGGCACTCTGGCAGAACTCGTGCGCCATTACCAGGAGGTGCAGTTTGAGCCCTTCGGGGAGTCCCTGTCTGCTGCCTGCCCCCGGGTAGGTACCCCTCTTCCTTGGGGTGGGGGGGGTGGGGCAGAGTGCCCAGGCCAGGGCCGTCCCGCCGGACCACATGCCTTTCTTTGCCTTCTCTATTTTCTGCCACCCATGGGTACTCAGTGCAGGGGCCGGGGAGGAGACAGCGTTGCAGCTGAGGCCTGGGGCCTGGTGGGAACGTTTCCGGCTCTGGCCAGCAGTCTCTGGCAGGAGGCTAGAGGCCAGCCAGGGGTGTATGACCACACACCAGCTGTGTCTCCACCACCCCCAGATGGAGGACAATGATCTCTATGACGCCATCACCCTGGGCCTGCACCAAACTAATCCTAGCCTGGAATACCCGCCAGAGAAGGCCAGCAGCCCCCCTGCCTCTCTGGAGGCAAGTCCCCAGAATCTCTCCGAGGAAGAAAGCAAGGAGGTAAGGAGGAATCTGGGCCACTGAAGGTCAGGGTTGGGAGACCAGGAGTGTGGGTGCCACGCCCACAGTCAGGCCTGGAGTGGCCTCCCCAGCCAGCCCCTCAGGCTGCGGAGGCTGACTGCCCGGCCCTATGGGAGAGGAGCAGCCCAGTTTGGAATCACCCAATGGTTCACCCATGCCTGCCTCTGCTAGCTGGATTTGGTTCAATCCTTGGCTTGGACTTTCTGGCTGAGTGACTTTAGTCAAGTCACATAACCTCTCTGAGTCTCAGTTTATCAATCCTGAGGTTCCAGTGAGGCTCGAATGAAGGAATGGATATAAAATGTCTGAAAAAATCCCTTTGTAAACTATAGAGTGGGGTGCCTGTGAGTCAGTAGTTTATTCTCCATAGCACCTTTGCAGGAGGGACTCACAGAGACTTTTTTTTAAAAATGTAGATCAGATCACAGAATGTTGAGGGCTTCTCCTCTTGTTTAAAATAAAATCTGAAAGCTTCACTAGGGTTCACAAGAGCCTCCTCAGGTACCCTGCTACCTCTCCTCCTCCTTCACTTTTCTCTAACCTCACTGGCCTTTGGATCTTCCTTGAACACACCAGCCTTGTTCCCACCTCAGGGCCTTTGCACTTGCTGACCCACTGCCTGGAATACTTTTCCCACCAGATATCCACATGGCTGCTACTCTCGCTGCATGCCATTCTCTGCTTAAATGCCCTCTCCTCAGAAAGGACCACCTAAACTATGGAAAATATCCCCTCTCCCACCTGCCATTGTCCCTATCCCATGCCTCAGGTTTGTTCTTCATAGTACTGATCATGAGCTGACAGTATATTATCTTGTGATACACTATTATATGGGGGTGCTTCCCAGGTGGCACCGTGGTAATGGGTCCGCCTGCCGATGCAGGAGACACAAGAGATGTGGGTTCGATCCCTGGGTCAGGAAGATCCTCTGGAGAAGAATATGGCACCCCACTCCAGTATTCTTGCTGGGAAAACCTGATAGGCAGAGGAACCTGGCGGACTACAGTCCATAGGGTTGCAGAGAGTGAGACATGACTGAGCGACTGAGCATGCATGCTATTATATCATGTGTTACATCAACCACATTGAGCAAAAACAGAGTAGTATGTTGCCCATCTCCAGGTTAGAATGTAAACCCCCAAGAGGTGGTCTTGCTCATTATGGAGCCCTTGACACCTGGGACAGTGTCTACACAGTTCTTACTAAATATTTGTTGAGTAAATACACAATTGATGGACTTGAGGGTGGCCCATTCTGAAGGGGAAGAGAGCAGTAAGTGGGTGAATGCAGGGGTCTCTCTGGGGGGCAAGGGAGAGAGGAGCAGGACAGGATGATCTCCGGTGGGAGGTAGAGCTCATGGCCCCTGACCTTGAATGCCAATGTAAGGACCATACTCAGGAGTCCTAGAACACGAAGCTGGCAGGGACCCCAAATGTCCACCAACCCCTGCACATAACAGTCAGGTAAGTGAGTCCAAGGCCAGGGGCCTCGGCTTCTCTGAGCGAGCTTCACTTTAGCTGAGGGCAGCCTGGTGGCAGGGTAACCTTTCAGTTCTGTCCCTCTCTCCAGGCCCCTGTCAAGGTGCCCCCTCTCCCGAAGAGGAGAGCATCCCTTCTAAGCAACTCTTTTGGAGGCTCCACTGATACCGTCTACGCAGACCTGAGGAAGATGAACCAGGCACGGCTAGGCCTGGACACAGACGTACCCGGCTGGCAGGGGCCGGTTCCAAGTGGCAGCCAGGCCTGCTCTCCAGGCAAGGAGGCCCCAAGGAGACTGTCAGACGGAAGCCAGAACAAGCCCGATGGCCCAGGACCTGCCCTCTCTGGGGTGAGCCCAGGCCAGGGTCCTAGTGTGTCTCCCACTTCTTGGGGCCTCCTCCTGCCCTCCAGTTCTGAGGCCTCGGGATCCTCAGGTGCTACCTGGAGCCACGGGTCTCCAAATCTGAGCCGTGGGGCCCAGCCCTGCTCCGAGAGCAGTTGTGCAGACACTTATGAGTCCATCTGGACAGAAGACCTCCCAGAGGACGCCAGGGATGTGCCATGTCAAGGTGGCAGTGCCTATGAGCAGATCGCAGTCTGCTGGGGGGGCCCGGCCAGGACCCCCTATCCTGGGATGAGCCCTACATACAGCAAGCTTTCAGGGTTCACGGACTGTGGTTATGAGAGGATCTCGGGGGTCCCGGAGCTCCCAGAGCCCAGACACACCTATGAACAAATCCCAGGAGCAAGCAGCCAGGAGCAAGGAGGCTGGACAGACACACAAATCCAAGCAGCCAGGAGCAAGGAGGCCGGACGGACACACAAGGTGGGCTCTCGGGAGGGGCGCCAGCCCTCAGGGAGCTGCTGAAGGAGGGAACCTGTGGCCCTCAGACAGGGTGGGTCAGGTCAGCACCACACCCAGAACTTCCCAGCCCTGACTTCTGCTTGGAGATGGTGGGAGAGGCAGAGGTTAGATTTGGATGTAAGATGGGAACTTTCAGGCCCTTCTCAAGTCTTTCTTTGTGGCAGGACCCCTGCCACTGCAGGGGTCTCAGAGCCTCAGAGAGGTGGACAAGGACCCTGGCTCCAGGTTTGACTTGCCTTGTCCCTTTTCATGGTTCAGGCACTCCCTACCCATGTGGCTTTGGGCAAAATAGTTTCCCATGCAACTAAGATCACCAGATTCAGCAAGATAAAATACAACACACCCAGTTAATCTGAATTTCAGATAAACAATGAGTAATGTTTTTTAGCATAGTTACCAATACTGCAATTATTCCTTATTTATCTGAAGTTCAAATTTAGCTGGACATCCTGTATTCTTATTTAGCATCTACCCAGGATATATCTCCATCTCCTCATCTGTAAAATGGGCTTGTCCTGTGCTGTTTCCAGGGGTGGCTGCTCAGGAGATGATGCTAGCCATCCCTATGTGCTCAGGATACAGCCCAGAGACAGCTGTTAATGGATAACTGTTATTCCCGGGGGCTTCTGACTAAGAAAGGAGAAAGGAGGAAGCAAAGACCAGGAGGATGGAGGGAGGGGGTCAGAGTTCCCAGGGAGGCAGAGGAACCCTCCTGAGGGTTCACTCCAGTGTACTTGCCTGTACCTGGAGCCGATGAACCAGGCGAGCCCCCTCCTCAAGGCGGCAGCCTCAGATCTCCAGCATGTGCAGACCTCTTCTCCTGGCCTAAACAGTAAAACCCTGAGCTCCCAGGTGAAAGGCCTTCACCAGAAGCTCTGCCAACTCCTCCCTCAGGGCAAGGTTGTACCCACACACCCCAGGACAGGGAACTCCCCTGGTTCAAGACAGCCTCTGAGGTCCTGACTCCCAGGACCGCAGATCCTGCCTGTGGACAGTCCTTCTAAGAACTACGTAAGCCACATCCCATGTCTGCTCCTCCTCCGGCTGCAAAGTCCTTCTGGGTCCTAAAGGCACCACATACACCCCACCCCCCATCCTACCTAGGGCGTGGCTGAGGCAGAGAGGACTGGGGTGGGGACCCCCGGAGACCCAGTGAAGGAAGGGGGGTGAGAGAGAACGAGTCCTTCATCCAAACCAGAGGGCTGGAGGGAGTTCCTGGCACTGTGAGGGACTGTGGAGCAACTAGCCATTTGCATTCCGACCTGGCCTTTCTCTGGCCTTGGGCCCCAGCTCCCAGTCCCTGTGGAGGGACCTCCAAGCCTGGCTTTCCCCGCCCTTTCCGGGGACCCGTGCTCCAGCATTGTGTCCTTCCTTGCAGCCTGACAAGCTCCGGAGGCTCTTCTTCATAGACAAGAAGCACAAACCCTGAGGAGGCCTGGCTTCCAGCGGCCCACCAGCGGGTTTCCTGGGCCCGGGGCCATGCCAGGGGTTATTGGGAAGCTCTCGGCTTGCTTGAAAGCACCCCTTGGATCCTCAAACCCACCTACCCTGCTCTGGAACCAGGCTCTGAGACAGCCTCGGTGCCCACCAGCGACAGGGTGGGAGGGGACCTTCCAGTCACCAGCCGCTCAGGACTGAGTCCCACTCCCCACGCCAGGGTCTCCCACCCATCCAGAGGAAGTCAAGGCCTGAGAGGAGGGGGGAGCGGCCAAAGGCAGGGGTGAGCACCCCCACCGTCCAAGATGAGCAGGCTGGGGTGGGGGATCCTGGACGATTGATGGAGCTGGCCTCCCACCACTGAACACTTACTGAGCACAGGGCAGGCCCTGTGTCACAGCTGGCGTTTTTCTTAACTGAGTGATGTCGTACAGTTGCTCCGGAGACCAAAACCAGTCCCCCTCATTGTGGCCCTATCAGATGGGGGTGGGGGTAGGGGTGAGAAGTAACAGCAAAGTGCCAGCCTCAGAGGGGATGGTTCTGACCCTGAGGCAGCTGGGCTCCTGAGGGCCATGCCCTCTGCCCCCCTCCGCCCCCACCTTCATGCGGGCCTCATAATGCAAGCTGGGCAGACCCTGGTCTGACCCTTTTGCTGCAGATGAGTGGGTGGGGGGTGGGGGTGGGACAGGGACCCAGAGAGGAGCAGCAACCTGCATGAGGCTGCACAGTCATCCAGCCTGGGCACCGCTGGGCGGTTTCTGGAGTCAGCCAGTGGGTGCTTGCTGGCCTCCCTATATGACCAGGTCACCCTCATCTGTGCTCTGCCTCCAGCCAGTGGTGATCTTTAGGGGTGGCTCTCAGACCCCTCCTAACGCAGGCCCAAACCTGGCCGGCTGCCTGGGCTCAGCCTGGGTGGTTTCTGGAGCCAGCCAGTGGGAACCTGCTGGCCATCCCTATGTGACTGGTCACCATGGACCTAGCCCCATGCCTGATACAAATGTTCACTGGAATGACTCTTACTATGAGGGACGTGGAGATGATTTTCACCCAACATCAGCTCTTCGTGGGGCTCCATAGGATCTGGGGCACAGATATGTCTCCTCTCAAGGACACAAGCACTGAAATAAAGTTGGTGCCGAAAGTGGGAAGGCAGTGCTTAACCTCAAGAGGTGAGGAGATTTCAAGGAGAAAAGGGATCAACCTTTCCTAACCTTGGCAGACACAGAGAACATGAAAGTGTTTTACTATCAGGAGTTCACAAATCTGTGGACAGCACACACCACTGAGGATTCCACGTTGTCGGGAAGGGCGGATGGGGTGGTGGTCAGGACGTGGACAGGGACGGGGACCAAGTCCTTGCACCCACGGTTCACACAGCTTCACATTGGGAAGGGCTGGGGAGAAGGAACAGATGGGCCCGGGGTGCAGCCTGGCTGTGAGTTCTAGAGAAAGATTGCATAGCTTGTTAAACCTTGTCCTCTTTTTGTTTTCCCATTTGCCCTGGGCAACCATGGTGCCTGCCCAGCACTTGGACAAGTCAGCACCTCAGCCCTGTTAGGGGTTCCTCCTCCCCCTCCCACTGGGGCCATTTCTGATTGGGAGAGGACTGGGGAGTAGGGAAGGTGGGGGAACAGAGGGAGGGCCTGTGGAAGGCCCACAGGGGGACTGGGAAGGGCCCTGCTCCTCACATCCCCCCTTCCCTGGTTAAGGATTTTTTTTTTTTTTTTTTTTTTTTTGCTGAAAGGGCCAAAGAAGTGTTCGTGGGTGTAAACCCCAGAGGCCACAGCTCCGCTCCTGGGGAGCTTGGAGGTCACACTCGTGTGGGCACCGGGCTGGATGGTCGGCTCTGGTCACTGTCCTCAGATCCGGATGTGGAAAGTGCTGGAAAGAAGGAAAGAGCAAGAGGGGGTGAGCGGCTCTGGACTGGGTGGGTAAAGGTCCTCGCAGAAACCCAACCAGGCCCTGTGTCTAACCCTGGACAGTTCCTCCGGGAGGACGCAGAGTTCATGAATAATCCACACGAGGGAAGGAAGGCCTGGAGGACCAGCCATGCCTAAGCATCCAACCCCCACATGACCAAAGGGCCCCCAGGTCTTATCTTTCTCCCGAGAGTCTGGCCCTGCTGGGGACAGGGGGCTCACCAGGCACACGCTGAGGGCAGCGGGGCCTGGAGCCTGACCTGCCTCCTGGGCCGCACGGGGCCTGCGGCGCCAACTGCTCTCAGGAGCAGTGAGGGTGCTCGCTTTGGCAGCACATGTACTAAAAAAATAGGAGCAGCAAGGGCCCTCAGCCTTGTCGGGACCTGGCTGTGGCCCCCATTGAGGCCCACCCCACCCAAACCAGCCCCTTGGAGCTGCACCTGAGGAAGTCCGGGGCCTTGGCGATCATGTCCTCAAAGTCCGCGAAGCCCAGCTTGCCGTCACCGTCGAGATCGGCCTCCTCGATGACCTTGTCGCACACCAGCACCACCTCGTCCTCATCCAGCTCCGACTTGGTGAGCCGGGCCAGCGTCAGCTCCAGGTCCTCCTTGCAGATGAAGTTGTCTGTGTTGAAGTCTGCAAGGAGGGGGTGGGGACACTCAGGCCACTCTCCTCCAAGCTGCTCACACCAGACACCTCCCCTTCACCCTCTTGGGGACACTGGATCCTGGTCCTCAGCTGACCGGGACCAAGATGGGGCTCACCTACAAGGCACCTCTGAATAACACATTCAACAAACCCACATTCACCATCTGCACAAACCCCCAGCACAACGACAAGCACAGACTTAGCCTGAGACACTTGGAATGTCCAAATCTGAGGCTTCCTGGGAACATGAGACCCAGGCCAAATGGCCCCCCTAGCTTTTCCCCACAGTGGACTCCGTGTTCCCTCTAGAGCTAAAGAAACCAAGGCCCAGACAGGTCAAATGACTGAATCAAGGTCAGATGTCTGCTTGGAAGGGAAGCTGGGATGCTGACCAGAGCCTGGTTGATGCTAAGGCCCACATTTTCTAAACTGCACCACGTTGCTTCTGGCCCCTAGCCAGACAAGGCGGTCAGGAGACTCAGAAGGCCCTCAGAGAAAGGTCCCATGCCTGGCTTTTGTGCACAAAGAGCAGGGAACGATTTGATTCTAATCCTTGGCAAAAGGCACTACCACTGCCCACAGCCCAGCAACATGTTCAGAGGGCCGACCATGCAGGCTCAAAGAGCGAACTCGAACACCCTTCTGACTGCTTTTCAACCTAACTATCAACTCTTTCTTCGCCTGTGCTGTTTCTTCTACCTGGAGGGCACTTCACATGTATCTGTGTAGCAGACTCCATCAAGTTTTAGTTCAAACGCCTCCTCCTGGTTAGTTGTGGGCTGGGGTGGGGGTGGGGGGGTGCTTTCTAAACATAAGGGCTCCTCTTGCCAAATGGCCAACCTGCTAGCATCAGTGGTAGAGATGAAGAGCACAACTGCTCATGTAAGCACTTCATGCTCCATCTCATTTAATTTTCACCACAAGCCTTTTCAGTGGGTACAATTAGAATCCCCACTATACAGATAAAGAAACAGGCTTGGAAAGGACAAATGACTTGAGGTCACATCCCTGCTCAGTGTTGGATCCCAGAGTCCAAGCTCCTGTCTGGCAACCTCCATGGCGCATCCCCACACTGGCATATGAAGGGGCCCTGGGGCAGGCACAAGATAGGATACTTCTCTGCCCTCTGGTGGTGGCTCAGCTCTCTGGAGACCGTTCCTGTAGGGTTGGCAAGATGGGGAACCCTGTGCCCATTCTATATGAGGAAACTAAGGCCAAGGGAATGAGTGATCCTTGCTAGAGGACAGGCCCCAGTTCCCCGCCCCCCAGCACCAAAACCCAGGTCCCCTTTCTCCATTCTACACCCCATCCAGGGCGGCTGGGGAGCACTGGTTCTCCCTTCACCTGTCCCCACGCCTGCCTGGCTGTGTGCCCTGCACTTCCCCTCTCTGGCAGACGGCAGCCTCTCCCAGGAGCAACGTCCTGGGGTCCAGCATTAAGGGGACAATGGATGGAATCTGAGAGGTTTTTTACTTGAACCTTGTGGGTGTAGTTTGTGGAGTAGACAAGGTGGATACCAAGCCTCTGCTGTGCAAATGCAATGTGGGTGCAGAGATGTATGTAGACGAGGGTTCCCTGAAATAAACAGGACAACTAGAAAATGAAAAAACAGCCCAGTGGACCCCATTGCCTTGGGATCTCCTGGCTGACCAAAGATGCGGGGGACAGGAGGTTTGTCTGTGGATGCTCTTTTCCAGGACGGGTTCCAACCCCTCCTTGGGCCTCAGAGTTCCTATCTGAGCACTGTCTGAGGGTTTGACACCAGTCCCAGTCCTCGGCCAGGCTCACCGCATGTGAGCTCTTGCAGTGTGAAGGGCTCTCCTGTGGCTGGAGCAGAAGCCAAGGGCTTCGTGGGTGCTCGGCGCCCTCTGGTGGCCAGTGGGACAAGGGGTCCTGGGCTGGGCTGGGGTGAAATGAGGTCACCCTGTCTCTGGAAGCAGTTGCTGGAGTCGGGTAGGGGGACTGAGGAGCCTACCTCTCAGCCCAGCCTCACCACCTGCAGAGGCCTCCTCTCCAGAACCCTGGCCTCTGCCAGTCTAGCTCCTCCAGTTCACACCTCCAGGATGCTGAGAGATCTTTCTAGAACACAGGGCTGCCTGGCCTCACCTGAAGCCCCACAGTGACCTCCAAACTCCTTGGCTGGCTCCTCAAAAGCCCAGTCACAATGGCCTCTCCAGACTCACACTGTGCTCATCCCACCACGGTCGTCTCCCCGTCAGCTCCCCAAGCCCTGTGCGGCGGGCTTCCCTGAGCTCCTTACAGGCAGCTCCCTCTCCCGGTGTGTCTGCCCACGCGTTCCTGTGAATGAACTCCAGGCCCTGCTGAGGTCGCCACCTGTGAACTCGCCTCAGGCTAACTGCCCACTCTCCCTCCTCTGATCTCAGGACCCTACAGGTGTCTCTCAGGTACAAGTTGTCCCCTCTGG